AAAAAAAAAAAACAGCTTGGGTTCCAAAATGTAATACATTATGACAGTGAAAACGAAAATACATTTGTAAAATACTGTATTGTACTGAACAGTACTGCTCAATTGAAACAAGCATGGTCCAATGCTTGGTGCTAGTGCACTGACGTGTCCAAACAAAAGTCAGCTTGTCCAATGTATGGTCTAAAGCAGTGTGTCTCTATCCCAGCCTTTGTGGCCCACCGATCTGCATAATTTTCATGTTTCTCTTATTTAACACAACTGATTTATAGGTGTGACATAACATAACTTTATAAATACTGATAAAATAAATGTATACATCACACTAAAATGCCATTTGAATGAAACATGTATGCTCCCTTTCAGCTAAAATCATGGCAGCATATTCTGTAAGTATTTGTGGTCTAATTAGAGCAAACAACTAAGGTAAAAGGAACCAGGCTCATTTTTGGAACATACCACTATATACATTTCTGGAGAGAGTCAAATACATCTCAGGAGGGTTTTTTTTTTTTTTTTTTTTTGCATTTTTTTTTTTTTTGCCTATTTTTACCACGTTTTCAAATCTTATCAAGTTCTCAACCTGTTATTTACTTGTTGATTTGTTTCCTTTTGTTTTACCTGCTTTCTGGAACCATTCTTCACCGGTCTGGAACCCCATCATCATGGTCAACTCTTCTCTGTCTCTAAAGTCCGCCGACAAACATGGCGAGCTACTGGGCAAACTGGTAGCAGTGGAAACCCATCCACACGGAGCTAAGCAGTCAGCTGGCATCACGAAAAGAAACAGAAGCTATCGGTGTCATCAGTGTCATCCCGCCCCATAGCATTTATTTTAAAGACGAATTGCAGTCATGCGTAGCTCGTGCTACATAGTTTGCACTCTCCAGAAATGTATACAGGGTTACGTTTTCACAGTGTGCCTGTGTTGAATATACGAAATGTGCAGCAGAGTGGGGTGTGAGGACAGGGAAACATCTAAAGGGTTGTCCCTACTTTTTCTCAATGAGCCATTGGTGTGTTTCAGGTGTAACATGCAATAAAGCAATTAGAGTCTCATATACAATTCCCTTTTAGACCCCGTTACGCTCACATCGCCATGGAAGATTCACTATTTACATGGCAGAATTTCCAAGTGCAAAGACAAAACTTCTCCTGAGAGGAAACCTTTATAAATTCAAATAGCTGGCCAATTACACACACCAGTACTGCAAATAGGTCATTCTGATACATACAATCATTATCCATTATAACATGTAGATATTAGCCCCTTCCACACAGTGATACCGGTAAATATCCGGAAAATTTTTCGGAACGACTTTACCAGTAAATTCAGAAAAGCGTTGTTCCCACAGGCGAGGACATTACTTAATTTTCCCGGAAAAGACTATTCACACATTCATTCCAAAATACTGGTAAGTTCTGACATCAGTAACCAGAAATGAGCTCTAAACTGCTGGGCTTGTATTTGTAAACATTTGACTACATTACAAACTCTGTGGATGGAGAATTATTGTGAATATGTAGGAGCACTTTCGCATGCCGAGATGTTCATAATGTGTGTGCGCGCTTATGCTTACGAACTGCTTCACTGGCATATGAGACGCGTCATGCAACTGAAGAAAGCAGAGCTTGAAGGTAAAAAAACAACGGCTTACCATAAGCATCTTATCGATAATTATTTACACAGTTGGCACTAAGAAGGAACATATAAACGTTATCAGACTAACATCTAGCAGCTAAATGTGTCTGGAAAAATATTCAAAGACTTTTTTTTTAATAAATCGCGCAGACGTGAATGCGTCTGACTGTTCTGATTGGCTAAAGTAGACGTCTCACGTCAGCACATTCTAGACGTGCACGCGTTCGTCCTTGTGCGTTCACACAGCACAGCATTCTGGCAAGTTACCGGTAATGTTACAACTTCTCTTTCCGGAAAATAGACAGAACGAATTTACCAGTATTTTCAAAAAGGACCTGTTCACACATACAGACCTTTCCAGAAAATTGCTTGTAATTTTCCAGGAAGGTCTGTATGTGTGAAAGGGGCTATGGTTTATGTACACACTAATAATATTTTACATTGTAATCCTTTCATTTTTAACGTGCACCTGTCTATAGGCAAGTATTACTAAAGCACTCTTTAAATATTTAAAATCAAGATGAAAAATAAGCCAGCATTGATTTTACTTCAGCCTTTTTGGTGCAATAGCTTTTACTATTATGCATGTCTAAAAACACAAGGTCAGTCAGGCCCAAGTTCATTTTCCATTTACACAATATGGTGCTGGATGTGAAATAAAAATACAGTGGCTGAAACTAGCAAAAAAGTCTGGCATCGCATTGCACCAGGTGTATGATAGAGGCCTAGGTCAACAGCCAAACTTATATTGAAGATGGCAATTTTTCAGACTGACAGGTAGCTTCCCCTTAAATCAGCTCAGACTGTAGCAGTCATACAACCCTGAGCTGATCTCAAGTTGGATGTTCATTAGTTCATTTATACAGTGCTTTGGTAACGTCAGTGTTGTATCTATCCTTAATGTGTTCTTTCAATAAAAGTGACTGTCATATAACGCTTTGACAGCTATACATCAAACTGCTCTTCTTCAAGGTGAGAGCAATCTTGCTATTAATGTAATGGAGGACCCTGCCGATGCCCTTGTAGTGTATAAGGACAAGTAGAAGATACAGTAGAGCAAACCATAAAAACAACTCACACTAGTACAAAGAGAGCATCAGTTCAAGTCAAGTTCACTTCCATTCAGTGTGCAAGGGAGGAAATAGAAATCTCTCTGAAAGACCAGTGCAAAAACAGGAACACGTCATTGCTTCTATTGCTCACCCTTCACATTTGTCTGTGGGTTTTACAAATATTTGACCAACTAAATCACCAAAAATATGTACTAAAATAAAATAAAATAATAAAATAAACAGAGCTTGTGACTTCTGTTATCCCCACTGGATCCTCAAATTATTTCCAAATTCGTATAAAGTAATATAATTGTTAGCGGGCAATGAACATAAAAATTAACAACTGGTTGTTTGCATACAATAAGTACAGTATTTCCTACTTGAGAAGCACTATATAGTATGTATATTAAGGCTAATATTTTATAAGGACTGTAAAGAAAATGTTTCTTATGCTGGGACTTGTTAACAATTATTAGCCAAAACTGCCTACTTTATTGAATACTTCATT